ACTTCCTTCTCAGACTTGTTTCTGACATTCTTTCAAGTTTACATGTCTTTGGAAAGATGGGTCCCTAACTTGAAAAATCACCTTCATTCTCTAATGTCCATGAAGAAAACACCACCAGAAAGGAAATGAACGTCTACCCTGGAATAAATCACACAATCAATATTGTTCCTTGTTTTAGCCTCAATATCTAAGATAGTACCTGGCCTTATTGAATGAGTGAGTGGACAAACAGTGAGAAAGAATTTATCAAGACACTTACACACAAAGATCTAGATGGAGACCAAAGAAATGGAACAGAGCTCAAGTTACTGCCAATCCTTAAGCACATGGACAAGCCCGAGAATGAAATGTTTCTTGGTCTTTGTACGTAACTGACCTTGACGAAGAGGAATCGTCTCTTGCTCCTCCACGTTTTCACGCATACCGTGATAGCTTCACATCAGCCGTTTCCATTTGTTTTAAGTGGCTTTTCATTCTGTGCAAGCTTGGTGCCATGAATACATACATAGTAAGCAACTCCAAGGCCATCACCAAACAGTTGACTTTATGAAATAGAAAACAAAACAAAAAGACAAAATTAATAAGGAAGATTAAAAGCCACTGGCATGAAAATAGTGTATTTTTTCAGTATGTACAATTCAATTTGTTGCTACAATAATAAAAAAAAACAAAACCCTGCTATCCTCTCCCTCAGTTCAAGTCAAAGTTCATAGCAGAGTAATGCAGAGTCCTCAGTGTCATAACAGAGAAGCAGTGTCCTTTGCGTCAAAGGGTCAGGGTCATAGGTCAAGTTCAGAAGAATCCTGGGAAGATGGACACTGATTCTATTAATCAGTGGTTCACTGTATCACCCACTGCAACCGAGTCTCCTGGAAGGGCATGTCTCCTAGGTGACTGCTCCATCAGCTTGACACATCTGAATTACACTAAAGGACTGTCAGGAAGGGCAGGTTTTAATTTTCCACTAGCGACCTCCATGGTACCTGCTATCTAGTTACTGTCATCGCTGTGTATTTACCTCCTTCCCGGGGAATCCACATCACACAGTAGAACAGTTATTTTTGTGATCACAGAATGGCAAATGGATTATTGCAACAGCTCTACCTATTTCTGTTAATAATGGTGATAACTCCCTATGATGTATTGTTCTAAGAGCTTTAAATGGTCTCCCTTTCTATCACCAATAACCCAATGAAGTGAGTACTTTTACTATCCTCAGTTAATGGATAAGGAAACTGTAGGCACAGCAAAAGTGAGTAACTCCCCCAAGGTCACACAGATGTATAATGGAGCCAGGAGTTAAACGCAGACAGCCAAGCTCCAGAGTTCTGTGCTCAGAAGATAAGTGGCTGGTAGAAGCCATAAGACCTTGCTGAAGTGATTTGTCCAGGCTGTGAATTCTTCCTTAGGTCTTCCTTTTGTGGTCTCATGTTTGAAGAAGTGAAGAGCCTCTGTTACTGGATGCAAAAAGGAGTGTTTTACCCATGCTAAAGGCCGATGAGCAGAGAGCCTCAGGAATGGATGGTGTGTGCTCATGTCCCCCTCGCAAATGCAGAGGTGGGTTTTGTACTTGTTCATCAAAGCCAGTGCTCGGTCACTGAAGTCACAGGAAAGATACCACCATGTGGACAACATTGTCCCTGACTGGGCCATCGGACCATCTACAGGCTGGCACATGCAGTTCTCTCTACTCCATTAGAAGCCTGAGGCTGGATGTGAAGTTCAAGCTGAACCTGAACTTCCCTGAAATTTATTTGAAATTTAAGAAACATCTAAACAACTCATGAGACAAGGAAGAATCATAATGGAAATTAGACTAAAGTATTTAGAATCAAATGATAGTGAAAATAATATATATTAAAACTTGTGGGGACAGCTAAAATAATACTTAGAAATGTATATTTTTAAAATGCTTATATTAAAAATGAGAAAAGTTGAAAAACTAATGGAGTAAGCATCCATCTTAAGGTGATAGGAAAAAAACTCAAAGAAAAGAATATAGAGCAGGAATTAATGAAAAGTGAATAACCATACATGGAGAGAGCCAATAGTGTCAGAAAGGTGATTCCCCAAGGAGAAAGAATTATATCTCTCCACTTATATGGGTCTTTAATTTCTTTCAACTATGTCTTATAGTTTTCAGTGCACAGGGGAAAGGATAATCATTTCAACAATGGGTGCTGGAACAAAGAGATAGCCATATGGGATAAAAAATGAACTTTGACCCTGTCTCACATACAAAAATTAACTTGAAGTGGATCATAGACCTAAACGTAAGAACTAAGCTATGAGACATCTACAAGAAAGCATAGGAAAAAATCGTAGTGACCTTGGGTATGGCTGAGATCTCCTAAATATGACACAAAAAGCACAAAGGTTTTTTGTGGGGTTTTTTAAGTTATTTATTGTCTTTATTTTTTATACTTATGTGCGTTTATACTTGATACAGTTTTCTTTTTTTTTTTTAACATCTTTATTGGAGTATAATTGCTTTACAATGGTGTGTTAGTTTCTGCTTCATAACAAAGTGAATCAGCTATACATATACATATATCCCCATATCTCTTCCCTCTTGCGTCTCCCTCCCTCCCATCCTCCCTATCCCATCCCTCTAGGTGGTCATAAAGCACTGAGCTGATCTCCCTGAAAAAGCACAAAGGTTTTTTTTAAGTCAACACACGGAGTCAACACTTCATCCAAAAACAAAACAAAACAAAAACTTGCTTTTCAAAAGATACTCTTTCAAAATGAAAAAGGAAAGCAAGGACAATATTTGAAAGACATAGACTTGACAAAGGGCTTCTATATAGAATACATAAAAGAACTCGTACAACTTAATAAGAAAGATAGCCCAAGTTAAAAGTGGGAGAAGATTTGAATGGACACTTGACCCAAGAAGTTATAGAGATGGCAAATAAACTTAGGAAAAGATACTCAGTATCAGTAGTCATTAGGGAAGTGTGAATTAAAACTACAGTGAGATAATACTGTATCCCAGTACAATGGCTGAAGTTAAAAAGACTGACCATACCAAACGTTGGTGAGAATGTGGAGCAGCTAGAACTCTTATACACTGTTGGTGTAAACGTAAAATGGTACAATCACTTTGAAAATCATTTTCTGAAAAGTTGATCATATACTTGTCATACAATTCAGCCATTCCACTCTTAGGAATTTACCCAAAAGAAATAAAATCATATATCTACCCAAAATTTGTACATGAATGTTCATAGCAGCCTAATACCTAATAGTTCAAAACTAGAAACAGCCCAAATGTCCATCAGCAGGTACATGGGTAAACATCCTTACAGTGGAATTCTACTTGACAATAAGAAGGACCACAAAAGAGAACCCAGTAAGATGAATCTCAAAATGATTATGCTCAGGGAAAAAACCTGGACCTCCCCCCACACACACCAAAAGTACATTTATACAAAATGCTAAAAAATACAATCTAATCTAGAGTGATAGAAAAAGAGATGGTGGTTACTGGGGTGAGGGGGGGCACCTCATACACATCTGTTTTATGTTAAGTAAGGACTTAAACATGAAAGGTAAAACCATAAAACTTTGAGAAGACAATCCGGGAGAACATCATTGTGACCTCAGAGTGCAGAAGGATTTCTCAAGACACAACACAAAAGGAAAAAGTGGATACATTTAGTAATGTTCAAATTTTAATATTTATGGTACCTATAATTGACAATTAGTGTCTCTGTAGAACTCCCATGACTCAATAAAAAAAGACAACCCAATAGAAAAATGGACAAAAGATATGAACAGATACATCACATTAAGAGGAGCCCCAAATGGCCAATAAACATGAAACGAGGTTCAACCTCTTTATTATTCAGAGAAATGTGAATTATAACCAAAATTAGAGCCCATTTCATATTCCCTACTTCACATTGATAAAAATTTAAAGGTCTTTATCAAATGTTGGCATAGATATGATGCAACCAGAACACACATTCACTCTTAGAGAGTAAACTGATACAAGCTCTTTGCAAAACTATTTGGCAACGTCTACTAAAGTTAAAGAAGTGCCAGTGCTAAGGCCCAGGGATTGCACTTCAGAGAAACTCATGCATATAGTACCAAGAATGTTCATAGCAGCACTGTAGTAGCAAAATCTGGAGGCAGTTCAGATTCCAGCAGCACTAGAGGAATTGTGGTATGGCTCTACAATGGAATACTATACAGTCATGAAAAGGATAGCTCACAGTTACACGCAGCAACAAGGAAGAATCTTAGGAACAAAAAGCAAGTTACAGGGCTTCCCTGGTGGCGCAGTGGTTAAAAGTCTGCCTGCCGATGCAGGGGACACGGGTTTGTGCCCCAGTCTGGGAAGATCCCACATGCCGTGGAGTGGCTAGGCCCGTGAGCCATCGCCGCTGAGCCTGCGCATCCGGAGCCTGTGCTCCGCAACGGGAGAGGCCACAACAGTGAGAGGCCCGCATACTGCAAAAAAAAAAAAAGTAAGTTACAGAGGAATATGTGCAAAATGATGCAATATTTAGGGATCCATATAAATGTTGTAAAACTAGAAAGAAAAGCAAGGAAGAGATAAGCACAAAATTCCAGAAAATGGTTACTTTGAAGCAGGAAAGGAATAGGATGGGGGTAGAAACTCTGACACACTGTGGACTTCAAAATGATAGTAATGTTTTTGTTCTATAATTGGGAATGTTTTTATGATTTTTATACCTTACGTTTATTTTATAATACTTCACATATGATTTTATAATATGAATCTACACTATATTTAATAAGGTTATTTTTAGAATAAGTGCACGCTGCAGAATTTTAGCATACGACTAACAGGATACCTGTTCTTGTATACCTACAAGACAAAAATGCTTTTTTGGGGAAAAAGGCAAATTATAATGAGTTCTATCCCGTGAATTATGTTTAATGACTTAAATTTCCTCTTGGTAAAGGTTTCTTGTTTCTCCCCCCCCACCCCCATTCTCTCTGCCTGGCTGCCCCTCAATTTGTAGGAGAGATTTGAAGCGCTTTTCACCATCTATGATGACCAAGTTACGTTTCAGCTGTTTAAAAGCTTTAGAAGAGTCCGAATAAACTTCAGCAAACCTGAAGCAGCAGCACGGGCTCGAATAGAACTCCACGAGACAGACTTCAGCGGGAAGAAGCTGAAGCTGTATTTCGCACAGGTACGTCATGGTGCAGAGGGCGGAGTGTTCTCTAAACTTGTTTTCCTCCATCCAGAAATCCTGACGTTCCCCATTTTCTCTATTATTATGCCCGAGGTCTTTGATACGAACAATCCCCAAGGAGAAAAATATTTTTTCCTTTATTTTACAGATATTTACATTTATTTATTAAGCATACCTGCCGTCCTTACTTTGTTTTGCTTAAACATGAAAAGAGCTTCAACCTCTTTTTTATTCAGTTTAAGGAATTCATTTTTCTGGCAGCTTTTCTCAACTGGGGTTGAGAAGGTTAAGCCCTAACCACCTTAAGGTCAGTGAATTAACTTTCCTCCTGTGCATCTAGAATGGCACTCGCGCTGGGACATCCTTGGAAGAAGTGAGAAAGTAGTCTCTGGAATCATTTCCGTGTGCTGTGATTCATATGAGGCACCCCTTTGAAAATGGCTCCCAGCCCAAGGGGTGAGCAGGGAGGAGGCACGGCACATACAGGAAGACTGTTTTAGACTTTGGAATTGAAAAGGATCCTGTGGGTTGCCAAGAATTGGCTATGCTTATTATTCTAATCCTACATTGATAGGACTCTGAGAAGCCAATTTCTTCTTGGAAGAATTAGTGAAATAAAGGCATTAGATGATGTGTTAAGGGCACTGTTTTATTTTCCACACAGAATTTTTTCCCTTGGTCTTAGCTTTCAAAATAAAAAAAAAAATTCAGGGGTTTGTCATCTCATACTCCAAATGAAACCCATGTTTGGACTTTTCTTGGTGGAACTGATGGAGATGGTATAACCTAATCTCCTCTAAAACTGGGATTCAGTGCTTAGTACCATTCATTGTTCATTCATCCCTTCACCAATTTATTTTTCTATTCAACTAATCTTTATTGAGCACATAATGCTCTGTGCTGTGCACTGAGTGTTCAGTGGTGAACCAGACAGGCACAGACCCTGACCCAGCCACTGGGAGATGTACTGTTAAAGAGAAATTTTTAATTTTTAAAACTTTTCTCCCAAGAGATGTTCTCCCAAGAGATGTTACAGTTAATGTAAAGATGAAAGTGAAAAAAATAGTCCAGTCAAATTTGAACATCTCCCCCCCTGCAGGTACAGATGTCCAGCGAAACACAGGACAAATCGTATTTACTGCCCCCCCAGCCGGTCAAACAGTTCCTCATCTCCCCTCCTGCGTCGCCTCCAGTGGGGTGGAAGCAGGGGGAAGACGCGATGCCTGTTATAAATTATGATTTACTCTGTGCTGTTTCCAAATTGGGACCAGGTAACAAACTTCTGTCTCTCCTGTTTTTTTCCCAAGAAACTTTTGTATTAAAGACGGTATTCAGCAATTTGTGTTCTAGCCAAGGAGTAACAACATGATCAGCATGGAGGATAAATCCTGGGTTCAAATTCTAGCATTTGCTAACCTTGTGAACTTGAGCAAGTTACTTAGCTTCAATTTTCTGAGCCTCTGTTTTCTCATCTAAAATCGGGATCATAATAGCTACCTTTCAACGTGGTTATAAGGATTACATGATATATATGTAATAATCTAACTGCGGTTTTTACCGCTATAAATTCTACTATAGTAGAATTAGTGAATATTAGTTGCCATCAAAATTCTACTATAGTAGAATTAGTGAATATTAGTTGCCATCAAAATAGCAGACAGACGTCACATTGACTAGTATATCAGGGAACTGGTGGTGATACCATATCATCCCTTCCAGATTCTTCTCCTGTATTTATTTTTCATTTCTTCTTTTCCTCCTCTTTTATTTCTCTCTCTCTCTCATCCCTTTAAAACAATATAAGAAATTGGTGCCATTGTTGTTCATACAAGTTGTCCACCTAAAATAATGTTATGTCTTTTATAGGGGATACAAAAGGCATTTTGAGGGGAAGTGGCTAGTTGTTGTTTTTAGACATCAGAGCTGTATCTTGGATCTCTGAGGTCCTATAATAACGAGATTGCTGATGTTGCCCGGAACCTTACAGATGTCTACCAAGGGAAAACCGGAAACCGTTATGAAATTAAGCAGATGTACTTGTGTTATTCATAGAACAGTAATTAGCACTTACTTTTTAACCCCCAAGACCTCCATACTCCATACTAGCTAATGTCTTAAAATGCCAAAACTTTTTAAGAACCTTAAAGCATCAATTCTCTAATGCCAAGACAAGATGAAGTTCTCTGAAATAGGATTTAAAGACTGAAAAAACAATAATGAGCAGTGAAACTATGAGTGGAGCAAGAAGTTTCAAGGGACAGAACCCTTCCTTTGCTGTTTACCTCCACAGGAGAGAAATACGAGCTTCACGCGGGAACTGAGTCGACGCCGAGCGTGGTGGTTCATGTCTGTGAAAGTGAAACTGAAGAGGAAGAGGAAACAAAAAATCCCAAACAGAAAATCACCCAGACAAGGCGCCCTGAGCCTCTGACTGCAGCACTGAGCAAGCCCCGGGCCTTCGACTGCACACTGTGAGGCTTTGGCTGTGGGGCGAGCCCGCTGCCACCTGGGCTGGGGTGGTGGGGACATGCCTGCCCGTGACCGCTGCTCAGCTGAGGCGAGGACAGGAGGGAACAAAGCGCCTGCCTTGGGGACAGGGGAGTACAGAGTAGCAGCTGGGTTTACCTGTTCAAAATTTTAACTGATGCTCTGAGCAGCACGTTAAATTAAAGGATTAGCCCCCAACATGTGGCAACTCTTGACCATTTTTAACAATAGCAAATTAGGAGAATGACTCCCTCCAGCAACGTTGATTTCCCTGCTTCCATATAGCATGGGGTACCACAAAATGAAAACTCTAGTCACTGAGTGCAGCACCATTTTTAAGAACTTAAAAATAGTCTTACAATTATAGTCATGTAGTGCGGGGTTTTTTTTGGAATGGTCTGTTGGCTTCCAACTAATCTATTGGTCAAAGGTTAATTGCTCTTCAATATACATGGAATTTTTTGCACAGAAATAAACCTGGCATAGAGAATAATTTGTAGAAAATCATTTTTCTCAAGTGTTTTTTCCTTAACTTTGGGGAAGAAATACCCAATTCCCTTTGTCAGAATCAAGGGACCCAAATCTATGTGCACATTGTTGTCATCCCGAAAGTGATACACAGACCCCAGTTCCTGATGTGCCATCCCTCCCGGACACAGAGCTGTTGCTTTGGAAGGCAGGATGTATCCCTTGTGAGTTTGATGACTGTGGCCTCAGGCGGCCACTGCACTCTCTACCATTTGTGACCACATCCTGGCCTGTAGCTCGGACTGTCTTCAACCACCAGTTGAGTTTTTGTTATGCATATTTGTGTGTCATTATTCTTGAATTAGAAAAGGTCATGATAAGATTTTCCATTTTTAAATTGTCCATTTAAACATTTTTCAGTTTGATTTGAAAGAAAAGTCACACACATTCTTTTTCTGTGAATTAGGGAAAAGAAAGATGGGGCAAACGGAGATCGTTTTGTTAATTGGGCTTTCTTTTGGGTGAAATTTTTTTACCCTGGCTTCCAGTTGGCATTTTCCCCTAAAATAGAAGTGTTTCCTACTTGTGTTTCAGAGTGTATCGTTGAACCTGCTAAGGTAGAAGCAGGCATCTTCTTAACTCTTTGTGGTCTATTTGGACTTTGAGGTCCCTTTTATAGAGAAGCATCAAAACTAAGAATGCTTTGCTTCAGGTCAAGTGGCTCTGCTGATTCTCTGCTCACTCCGAGGTTTTCTTTGTATGGCAAGTGTCTGGGGTTCCCTGGTGTGTCTGTGCAGGGACGTGTGAGTTTAGACTAATAAACCAATATGGCTGCCACTACAAAGAAAGGAAAATGCAGAAATTCAGACTGTGCTGTCTGTACATTTTTGGTAATGTGTTTCTGTGATCTAGATGTTCTTATTATGGTAGAATTTATTTCTAAGGACATAAACTTCATTGCAAAAAAAAAAAGTTTTCTATATTTTCCTTGCCCTCAAATACTCTGAGATGATCAACTCTTCTATTTGTATATAGCCACCACTGGTAAGCCTCAATGTAAATTCAGTTGAAACTTGTGATTCTGTAAGCAGTTTATTAAACTCATTATTTGGCAGTTTAACTGGCAGCCACTTAATAAATTTACTTTGCAGTTCTAAATTCAGCATTTTGTCACTTTTTAATCTTATCTGGGTGTACTAACTTATTGCAGGACGAACCCTAAGTCAGGAAATGTATGTATTTTAAACATTTGGGAATTTTTGAATTTCCTTTTAGATAACATTTATTTGCTATAATTTTCTAAGTGGTCAAAAGTCATGATGTTTTATTATCTGGCTTGGCTTTCATCCTCTACCTTCCAATGAAAGAATATTCTATCCCTAACTTAAAACTGTCTTTTAAAGTCAAACGATGAAAATTACCTGAATATTTCTTTTTCTCCTTTCTTTCTTTTTTTCCAGTGTTGAATAAATTGAAGAAAAACTTAAACCAAAATTAAATATATATTAAGTAATATATATTTTTATTTAAAATATAATTATTTAATATATATTAAACTTTTCTGAATGGAAAAAATTTTCATTCTTTCTAGTATAATATTTCCACAAGATGAACTCTAAAAGAAAAACTACTATATGCCCATTAACCTTTTTTTTTTTTTAATTTTTGGCCATGCCCCACGGCTTATGGGGCCTTGACCAGGGATGGAACCCGAGCCCTCAGCAGTGAAAGCACCAAGTCCTAACCACTGGATCGCCAGGGAATTCCCTCCCATTGACTCTTAAATATTGTGAAATCAACCAGGATCTCCCCAGGTATTATGAGCTCTTTTTTTGGCTATTTTGTATCCAGCTCATGTATCCATCTTGTGAGAGATAAGTCTCATGCATCTTTTTTTTAAGTACCTTCTAATAAGTATATCTACTTCTTCTTTGAAATTGAGTCATTGCTTAGATTTAACTGATAATATGGTAGCTATGTTTTCTTTAGAAATGATAACCTCTTCTTGGGAATCAATTTATTTAGACAGTTACGAGGAAAGAAGATGGTGTTTTTTGTTAGGAGAAAACATTTGTGAAGGATAAGAAAATTGTACGACAGTAAAAATAGTCGACAGAACCTGTAATGCGTGGGCTATTATGGTCTAGGTTCTTTCAGTTTACCCACCGGGTGAAACGGGAAGTTAATCTATTTAAAAGTGTACCCCCGTGAGCATCTACTAGTTTAAGGTGCTAAGAAGCAGAAATGGTAAGAACAGTTAGTTCCCTTGCCTTGGAGGGCTGAAAACCTGGTGAAAGCAAACTAGTCTTTTCACATTCTCCTTCACCAAAATATGATACACTAAAACGTATCAGTAATTAAGAGCCAAATAAAAGCTCCTGGGAACTTCTAAGTTCAACATAAAGGGTTTTTTTTTTTAAATTGAAGTTTAGTTGATTTGCAATGTTTTGTTAATTTCTGCCATACAGCAAAGTGATTCAGTTATACTTATATATACATAGTCTTTTTTATATTCTTTTCCGTTATGGTTTATCACAGGATATTGAATATAGTTCCCTGTGCTGTGCAGTAGGACCTTGTTGTTTATAACACAGAAGTTTAGATAAACATTGTGGTTTATGGGATGTTCAAATCAAAGAGATGCCAGGAGATAGAGTCAGGTTAGCACTTTCATTCTAGAATACAGTTGTTTTTGTTTCCCACTCACAATAATTCTATCTTTTTAAAATGTTGTGATATAGGGAATTCCCTGGTGGTCCAGTGGTTAGGACTCCGTGCTTCCACTGCAGGGGGCCTGGGTTCAATCCCTGGTCAGGGAACTAAGATCCCGCATGCCACACGGCAGAGCAAAAAAAAAAAAAAAAAAAGTTGTGATATAAAGTGAAAAGATTTGATTTCTCAGAATCTCAATTACAGAAGCTGAAGATGACTTTGGAAATCATAGTGTACTATTCGTGTTACTCAGATTAAAAAACAGGAGCTGTGACTTGCTGTGAAGCCCACAGAAGGCAGCCCTGGTTCTAGAATTGGCAGTCCCAACTCCCAGGCTAGGGCCTTCCTCTAGTTTTTCTCACCTTGGCCTCTTAAAGACACTCAGAGGCAGTGAATCCCAGTCGTAAGAAGAGAAACAAACAAACAAAAGGGAAAAAATTCCTTTTCCCCCGATGCGATACAATGAATAAGAAAAATCTTACCTGATGAAATCAGTGACTTAGTAATTTTAATGAATGAATTCGATGTTCCGTGTTTTGTCTTTGTTGTCATTGTACCATTGGGTTTGGAATCTACTTAAATAATGTCTTGGTAGCAAGGAATTGTGTTGACATTTTATCCATATGTGGGCTTTCCTAGATTTCATAGTAATGAGATTAAAATATAAATAGGCACACTTGAGATGTGATTCTCATGAAGCATAACAAGATCTAATATGATTTGAAAAGAACTTGCAGTGGAGTGGCACGCTCACTCAGTGCTTGTAAGATGGAGTTCTGTTAAAGACTGAAGGCTGACCTGTGCTTCAGCTTTCTATATAGCCACTTATAGACCGTGGCTTCATTTGTAAAAGGGAAAATCTCACGCCTAGTTAGGCGTTGGAAAATGTACAAAATTCATTGGTTCATCAGGCTCACTGTCTGCCAGATCTCTCTCTTTTCTCCAGAGTTGTGTACTTCATACCCGTCCTACAGGTGAGCTTGGTCAGTCTTTCTCTTCTTGGCACACTTGCATTTATATCTTCCTGTAGGAAGGGAAATAAATCACTGACAATAAGTGCGACAATATAAAGGAACTAAAGACTTGGAGAAGCAGTTGGCTCCTAGCTGAGGAGGTAAGTCCATGTTGTAGAACCTTGCCTTTTAAAAGGTTAAATAAATTTAAACAGAAAGATTTGTGAACCTTGTCCAGTAATTTGATAAATACATGTTTTTTAAACTTCCTTTGAAGTGGGGTCAGCCAGAACATCTTCATTGGAATGCAGTTTTTTTCAATTGCATGGTACAGATGAACCAGTTTGCAGGGCAGAAAGAGAGAACCAGATGTAGAGAACAAACGTATGGACACCAAGGGGGGAAAGTAGGGGGCGGGGGGGGGATGAATTGGGAGATTGGGATTGACATGTATACACTGATGTGTATAAAATGGATAACTAATAAGAATCTGTTGTATAAAAAATAAATAAAATTCAAAAAAAATCATGAATCGGGGGAAATTGTAAAAATTTGTAGTGTTATTATTATTACCAAATATACAAGCAACAAAGCCACTGAAATTTGCAACGACTCCTAGGTTCACTGACCAAAAAAATTATAAAAATGGTCAAGTTCAAAGTAGAAGTTTCCAACTAGGGTTAAGAACTAACCTTGGACTGAGTCAAAGTGTCTCTGTCCATTTAAACAAAAGTTTAAAGGCCTTTTACTAAATCAGCCATGTGGTCCATCTTGTAAACCTGCATTTCCTTTTGAGACAAAACCACTTTCTGCAAGCGCTTGGAACAAAGCGTAGCTTTGACTGAATGTCCATTCTTGCCATAAGGGAAGATTTATATCTATGCAGCTAATGTGTATTTTTCTGTATTGTTTTCTGCGTAGTCCCCAATCTTCCT